CTTTTATAACGTTCGCTTCCGCCCACTACTGCGGTCTTGATCGCGCGATCTATCACGTGTCTATCAGATGTTGACTCGTCCTCAATCTCTATCAGGTCAAGTGAATTGACCGCGGACACAGGCAGCTTCGTCGTATCGGACGAATACCCGGCCCAAAATAATGTAGATAGAAATGAACAAAACTTTAAAGCGTCCAGCAATGGAAAAGTACGAATCACATGATTATCACAAGATTTAAAGCTTCGACAATATGGATACAATCATTTATAGACCATTCATTGTTCAGAAAACACACCTCCTACTTATAGATGCTAACAAATAATTAGGTAGTTTCCTCCGCGAGCCAGAAAGTTCCAGACGGTCCCCTTCCGAGAAATAGTTATTCTAACGGAACAAAATGTTCAGACAGTAGAAAATCTGAATCGAGTATCAAGTACAAAGAATCTAAAATTGTATTTCACTGTGTCACTTCAATTAATTACACCCTCTTATACCCGCCTTAAAATCTTTTGCGACCAGCTAGCTGTTTGTAATTTTAAGATGCAAAATATAGGGAAAAATATGAAATAGAAGGAAAGTTAGACTTCTAAGCAAGTGATACAAGTAAGCTTGAAGAAGAACTCCGTTCTTCTTGTCAAGGTAGGAATATATATTAAAGGTATTGAATTACAGTTAATAAGCCTGCGGCCAAGGTGGTTATATCACAGTAAAGACATCGCCCAAGATTAAGTCTGTGTCTGCCTCCCAAGGAAAATAAAAGTGATTATGCATTAAGTACGAGCGATTATGCATTTAAACGTAAATAAACGAAACGAAAACTATGAGTGATCACTAAAACAAAAATCAAATTAACAATATAAGGCGTTAAATACAGACTGCTGAAGGGCGTCCAAGATAATCGGTGCGTTCACCATCAAGTTACCATGCCAACTACACTATTTACAAGCCAATACATATCAATTGTTATGGAGAAAAGGAACTCCGAAATTTTACTATATAGGAAATAAGGACATTTCCAACAGCGATTTACTAAATTAGAGCGCTTCCGGAAGGCGTGACGTATCTGGTACCAAAGTGTTACAATTTTCATTGTGAAAACATTTGTGGGCTTTGCAAAAGCAAGTTCAAGTTATCAAATATAATTAATGAGCGATTTTTTATGCTCCTAGAGTTTCTCTTACATTTTCCGGTTTATATTTATTTTGCCTATTCGAGTCAACAGCATCACAATCCTATCAATGTCAGCATCACGACGCCGATCCTGATTTCTCATTACAAATTTCACACCCTCAATGGAATTGTTGATGATCTCACGGCACGAATTGTTGCAGACCTGACACAGAGCACGAATTGTTGAAGACAATTCGACTAAGGTACTCTAACCACTTGAGTTATAAACTTGAGCTACTTTATAATTTGGAATATACGAAAGATAAAAATCTTGTCGCGTGTTTCTCAAAACATAGTCTCGACTCATAAGGCGACGCGACGCCTGCGTTAAAGTGCGACTCAACGTCAGCAAATAAAATTCAATCGATATTGCTTGAGAAAATGCTCCTGCGTGACAGTCGGACAAGATGTGACGATGAAGCAACAAAAATATATCTATAAACCCTCTCCATGCCGCCCCGTCCTTGACGTGGGGGGAGGGCTTGCGAAATGCAATGACGGCTGGGGCTGTGTTGTCGGGGTTTCCTTGGTAGTTTCAATCATGACAAATTGGCCCAACCCGAGTGTTCAGACTAACGGGGGTGGCAAGTGGGCACGGTGGGGGACGACAGTTTTGGTTGCTGTGGCCCGCCGTGTCTGCGGTACATGGGGAAGGCTACCCCATGACCCCATCGTGGTAGAATAAACCGGGCTCGGGTAGTTACGGGCTAAAAGGCCCTTCGTATTCTAACCGAATTGTGCAGCAATTCAGTTAGCAAGACAGCAGATTGCTGACGTAAGACAAGAATCTTCTAGTAACAACCAACACATCTTGCCAACACAGAACACGCGGTATCACACCTAGACTATGAAATTATAGCGAAGGCAATAATAGAAACTTTATATTTTGTTACGATAAATCGTTTGAATTTAGTACAAGGATGCAGATTACAAAATACCGGGGTTTTCTCATTAATAAAATTTATAGTTGGATTAACAATAAATGTCCAGCGACACAAGAGAAGTTATTTCAGAAAGGCTTCCTTGATGGGAATATAAGATATTGGTAAAAATTAACGATCGACGCTGGAACAGAGCTTAATGTCTAACATAACAATAACATATGATGGCTACCTCTATAATCGATAGTAGTATATATTATATATAGCTAAGCGCCACTGATTCTTCAGTTCAGTTAGTCTCCCATTGTCGCAACACTGGCTAGTTTTTAGCGCATTTCCTCATTTATGGAAAAAAGGCGCCTATTGTGCTCGTCATGTCCGTCCGTGATTTCACGTTTTCGTCGACGAGAAAATGCGCTCTCTGTCACTCGCTGCAGTGAGTACTGAGTTATATATATTTTATTTGCCTGGCTATAAACCCGTCGTGTGTTCCTCTCTCGTTGATTAAATCAGGCACTTGGGCTGGTCTTCGAGTCCATACATAGATAACTATTAGATAGAAAATACTAAATATATTAACAAACTTATCACCTAAAATAAAAGATAGTTGCACATTACAAATAATATTAACTGTCAAGGTGTGCACTGTGCAACAAAATAAATTAGCTTATGGATTTCACTAATCGATGGCAGCGAGCAATTCGCATGATGATAGAGTAAACACAAATAAACTAGGTTGAGCATTAAAAAGGAGAAATTAAAATCCTAATTTAATTTTAGTACAAGAAGTAAAAACAGTAAGCCTTTTTTCTGGATACGTTGTGTTTACAGAAGCGCGCCGGACAGGCATCGGTAGGACCTTACTAACCATTTTCCAAAGCATGAAATAAGTAAATTATTATAGCAGGGCTCCAGCGTGAAATGGATAAAGTATCTGAAGCACTAGCAAACCTAGCTTCTTCAACTACCACGACTAATTGTCAACAATTGTACTAATAATTTTGCATATAAATCATTTCGGTTAGGAAAGACGCCATAAATTTGCCCTAGAGCAGGACACGGCAGCTCAGCAAGAACGAGTGACCAGGCACGACACATGCGGCAGATAAATATATTACACTATCAACTACTTGGGGCATGGCAAAATAATCTCCAGAAAGCCATACAAGTGAATATTCTCAAAAAATAATAATTATTAACTTAATTTACAATGTGATAAAGCCATCTTATAGACGAATAGCGATCATGGTCGAGTTTTGTCGAGTTGCACAATGAGAGAATTCAGTTGTTTGTGGGCTACTCACACTTTCCGGGCATTGACTATATATGTTTGAGATAAAATTAGTTGATAAAATCGTTTGTACTGCGATGAAATACTCGGAAATTTTGACTGCATACTTGAGTAATACAGGAAGCCTAGCTGTATGGATGAGAATGGCGATTAAATATATTTCCATAAAATCGTCTGCTCTCCGGCTCATCACCTTACAATACTAATGCCAGTGGTCCAAGAAAATATCAACAACTTGCAATATTAACAACTGACGACTAAATGTTAACCCACTCAATACATTATTTATCTAATTAAACGGATCGCCTCGTGCTGATTACAACAAGATTATTACAGTCCGCTCGTGCAACGCAGGTTGGCAGTTCATTGCAGGAACTGATCGATGATGCTGAGAGACGAAGGCACTTGTGGTTTGTCTGTAGTATGACGCGCTGTTGACAGCACGATACTTGGACGCGCTGTTGACAGCACGATACGGGGACGCGTTGTTGACAGCACGATACTTGGACGCGCTGTTGACAGCACGACACTTCTTGGACGCGCTGTTGACAGCACGATACTTGGACGCGCTGTTGACAGCACGATACTTGGACGCGCTGTTGACAGCACGATACTTGGACGCGCTGTTGACAGCACGATACTTGGACGCGCTTTTGACAGCACGATACTTGGACGCGCTGTTGACAGCACGGTACGAGGACGCGCTGTTGACAGCTTGCCACGATCAGGGCCCGCATGTATCAACACGGAAAGTAACCCAAAATTTGCAAGTAATTCGTGAGGGCGGATCAGTTCCTCGGGTGGAAGTTGAAGGCCAGCTGAGTGAGTTCGATCCCACCTTTGTGCGCCAGTTTCTGGTCAGAATCGGCAATTAAGGAGGCCGGGCGGTTAAGCACAGCAAATTTGAAGCAGTGAGTTTCGAGTTCAAGCCTGCAACAAGCTTTGAATGTTCTACAATGTTAAGAATAGGCGACAGGCCTACGGCCAAATAAACGCAGAAACGCGGTATATAACCATTTTATCACTTCCTCGGGTGGAACTTGAAGGCGAGCTGAGTGGCGGGCTTGAGGACGAGCTGCGTCTTCACCTCCATCTCCTCGTCAGACTCGAACGTCAACGTGTACTTCTGCAGCATCTGAAACGCAGGGAATACAACAAAAAAATCGAAGCAAAATACCTCATAAATTTTCATGGCCCTTCCTAACACTAATTGTTAAATCTTTGGATGTTGGATACCTCTGAACATTGATAATAGTTACAAGTAAAGGTTAATTCTCCAGGTTTGTTGAGTAGCGTACAAATTCTTGAAGTAAATGCAATATTTGAGCTTTCCAAGACGGAGAATACATGCGAACGTATTTAATCGGTATTTATCGGCGGATTCAATTGGTGCACTTTGGAGAAGTAAGATGAATACTTAGAAGCTTTGAGTAAAACATACCAGGTAACCAAAGAACTTCTAGAGGGGCGTTAGTTGAATGGACGAGCGCCACCTTAAGTGAGGAAACTACCGACGCTTCGTAATTTATCACACACTCTGTTGCTGGATAACAGATCGGAGAACCGTAGCAAGATTACTTTTAATGCAGAGACTAGGGAATATTTTGAGAGGGCACGGAGGGGCCTTCTTAAAATAGCCCGAAAGGGCCCTCTCTTAACCATTCTATGTCCAGATGAAGCGTGTCAAGAGACTGGCAAGAAAGGCAGTGCCAAGATATAAATTTGCCGAGGCGTCAAAAAGCTTTCAAATAATATTTACTGACCAGGATCGGGATATGTGAGAACAATAGGAGAGCTTGGGATGCATAAAGTACAGTCCGTTTTTCAGCAATACGACAAGTGAAGTGGCGACACGCAGCAAAAGGATGATACATGACGCGGTGTTCAGAAGACTAACGTCAGTAACAGTGAACTCTTATTAATCCCTCCATTCGTACGCGATGCACAAAATAGCAAGAAGGCAATGTGAAACATAAGACCTCGGAACCCAGTTAAGGGAGCCGACGCTTAAGGACATAAATTCGAATCTAAACAAGAATGATGCTGGTTGAATACATTACATTAGGGGAAAAAAACACCTAGAAAATAACAAATGAGCCCGTGGAGATTAATTGAACCAGAGCACGTCATGGATGTCTCCGAAGCACCGCTAAAACTGAGGCTAGAGCAAAACGAACAAATGGAACGACTCCCAAGACTGCAAGGATGCGCACAGGTTGCTGGCCAAGAGGGCTTATGACGAGTAACGAGGAACTGGCGCTTTGGTCATGCTCGACTAAACAGGAATAAGTCAACACGACATGAACCGGTGCCATGAAGTTAACTTACGAAGAATCAAACACTCTGTTCGTCTCCAACTATTCCTTACCATATACGTACGGGTAGACTTATTTAATTCAAACAAGTAAGCTAGAGAAGATCCTTGAGTGCTCCTCCCAACAACAGCTCCACCACGATAGTGGATCGCAGTTCTCACCCTGATGAGGAAGGTGTATATCTCCTGCTCGGCCAGACGCTTGCCGATGCACATCCTGGTGCCGTGGGAGAAGGGCAGCGACGCGAAGGGATGGATGGCGCCGTAGGGGCGGTCGCGCTGCCACCGCTCCG